AGAGTGATCAGTCCACATTGTTAGCCCTTCTTAGGGAAAAATCAATTGGGAAAACTAGGAAGGCACACATGATTTTCATAACAGAATACAGCTGATACATAACAAGCCAAGTAACACCAAAAACTCCTTGGGATTTGGCTTCCTCTAGAGGAATTCCCTGATTCCTCCAGGTAGTGACTTTGCCATAACCAGCTGAGTTCTTATGATATTCCTGTGGCCCGCAGCACCTGGGCAGTGTGGGAGAGCTGGTCCTGGTGGCATGAGAGCTGGCCCTGCCCCTTGCCTGGACAGTGTGGGAGAGCTGGTCCTGGTGGCATGGGCATAGAAGAGCTGGTGGGCTGACCAACTCAACTAACCCAGACCCAGATCCAAGGCTTTGAGCTGGCCCACTCCTAAATCTACCACATCTATGAGCTGTGGGAGCTGGTGAAGGAGCGGGTCCTGCAGACTCAAAGCTGCAGGATCTCCACAACACAGGGCCACAGCAGGATATTCCAAGGAGTCCCAGTTAGGATCCAGTATTGATAGTGTAGCAGAAGCCAGAGGCCTCGATCCAGACCAATGACTCATTGCAACGAACACTTGCAAGTAAAGCTGTTTAGGCAAACAGGAAGACTGGCTTCCACAGCGAGATTTTCTTTTCTTTTGCGGGAAGGGTACAAGGGTGGGGGGTGGATATGCAAGGACTGGGAAACGAGTGACATCAGTGTGCATGATATGAAATTTACAAAATCAGTTTTTTAAATTATGAAAAAAAAAGAGATGGATTCATGCTAAATCTCAAATTGTTACTGTACAATGACCCTAGAAGGTAGATATCAGGTTCCCCTTTTTATCAATGAAAAAAAAAAAACAAAACAAAACTGAGGTTAAGAAAGATTGATGTGTTCATGGTTACCACTGAAGTTCAAATCCAGGTCTAATACCTGGGATTCTGTACCACACCCACCTTCAATGATTAACTCAAACAAGTTAAAACTTGATGCAATCATGAAGGTTAAAAACGGAACGACTCTCTAACACATGCTTCTTACATTTCTGCCAATCTTGACTCACCCTCTGTTGCCACCCTCACCCAAGCCTGTCAACCAACCCTGCCAAGAGAGAAATGCATCTCTGCCTCATCCATCTCCTTTTATGCACGTTTCCTGGGAGGCGGTTCAATGGCTGTATTTATCAGGGTCACGCAGTGACAACGGGACCCTGTGGAGGCTGCGACCCATCAACAAGCTTATTAAGAAATTATACTAGTCACACTTACAGGATACTTAAAGGTTTCCAAAATATATTCACTTACGCTTTCTCTTCAAAGCCTCATGGTAATTACTACCTTTCAGGCAAGGGGACTTGGAGGCTTAGAAAGACTGAGTTCTTTCTACTGAGGGCCCTGTGACTTCAAGGAGCGGAGAGAGGTTCGCAATGGCACGACTCAGCAATGGAGTCTACAGCCTTGCCCCACCTCTATGGCAGAGGCATTGATTTAAAACCTGTTTGCGAACTTCCAAATACAGCATCATGTTGGGACATCTGGGTTCGCTCCCAGCTCTCAGCCAGTGAGCTATCCTCTAGCCTCAACAGTAGAAGTGACGTATGTGACCAGCTAAGGACCTAACAATCTATGACTCAACAGGTCGTCTGGCTTCCACAGTAGATGCAAGGGTGGTGACAAATGAACAAGCCCGGCACTCTGTCCAAGCCACTAAACACATGAGCAGCCAGCATTCAGCCTTGTCCTCGGGCAGCCAGCAATATTCAAACAAATGCAGTCATGGGCATCGAGGTTTCTCATGCTGTGGCTCTGGTCCTCCTTTAAGAATATCCAGCGTTGGGGGGGTGGGGTTTATGAGATGGCTCAGCTCAGAAGGTAGAGAGAAGAGCTTGCACTCAGGCCGGATGACGACATGAGCTTGATCCTACAACATGGCCGGAAAGAAGGACGCCTGAGAGCGGTCCCCTGATCTTCAGGCATATGTGTGCCTGCACACACACACACACACACACACACAAATATTTTTTTAAAAAATGTCTAGAGTCAGAACATGTTCCTCAGAGCATCTGCACCCAGGAGCCCCCTCTCTTGCTGGGCACAATCCTTCAGTCCACAGCAATGGGCAGCCTCCCAAAGGGATGTTCTTTCTGCTTCTCCAATGCCACCTCTGGTTTCTCCAGCTCCGGCCTCAGATCTAGCACTTTCTGGTAAAACACTTTCACTCACGATCTTTCAAAACATCCTACCCACACGGCCTGCTGCCCCTCTCCTCTCCCCTGAACAGCTATCAGTTTTACTTCTCCGTGTGCTTTCAGGGAACCTTAGTCTCATTATCGCTCTCCAAAACAATATTTCCATCTCCCATCCCCAGAGCCGGTCTCATATCTCCTGTCTGTGTCTTCACAGATCTCTCCACCTTGCCTCCCCAGAGCACTGCTCTGTGAGGTTCTGCCTTCCTGCACACTCCTGAGAGCCACTTCTGAACACCAAAATCTGTACAAAGGCATTGATAGTTCAGCTTTGTTAAGACAACCCCTGTGTCCTTCCACTGAACATAGTAGGAGGCTCATGAGCCGGGCACCTACCTAGTACATTACATTTAATACGATACTTGGATAAAACTTCCTATTTGATCCTCTGAACAACCAGTGTGTGTGTCTCTCTAGTTTACCACAACAAAACAAACTGCGAAGGTCAAGAGAAGTAAAATAATTCTCCACGATCACAGAGCCATGAATGCAGGAGAGCCATAACTCAAGTCTGCATATTAAGGTATGTCTTGGGCATTTTGTATGTAACTAACTGGTGTTCTGGATCCCTCCTGCAAAGAGGAAGTGCCATGCAAACATTTGATTAGAGCTCCTTTGAGAAGAGTTAAAGGGAAATGCCTTTCCTAGTTCAATCTCTCGGTCCTTAGGGGAGTTGAACCAGGCTCGAAAACAGGCAGGAGCAGAACATCAGAGCTTAACACAGAGCGAAACTCTAACTAAAGCCAACATAGGAGGACTAATAGGCAGAGACCCCTAACACACACACACACACACACACACACACACACACACACACACACACACACACACAACCAATGCCCATTTTCTGATGACAACCAATCAAGTCTGTTAATCACAATCGACTTTCCACACTTGCAGAGGCCGAAAGTAAGTCTACCACATATTTTCAAATACTTGGTTTGCTGGAAAGAGGACAAATAACCGAGTTTAGGAAAAAGAGAAAACAGACCACAACAAGCCCCACGTTTACCGTTACATAGTTACTGGATTCCTGTTTGGGCTATCCAGACTAGTAGCTTTTATTGGCGTTAAAATTTCCAGGCAACAAGGGACAATAAAGCATTACTGCCCCTAAAATAAGAGGCAAAGGTCCTTCCTAATTGCCTGGAAAGCATCCTGCTCTCTTTTGGGAATGCTCGCATCTCACTGAGCGAGTGGCAGAGCACCACCTCCAGATGTGACATCCACACTATGTGCAAGCTCAGCAGCCAACACTGGCTCCTAGATTTGGAATCAACCAATAAACACCGTGATCACAGCCTCTGGCCTCTTCCCTGTGGATCACAGAATTCTTTAAAAACATTTCCGTGCTGATCCAAAACTTGTAACATCACAGATGAGGAGCTGAGCGGCAGAGACGGAAACATAAAACGGAGCGTGAGTTACATCACCGAGGGCCTTCTCAGCAGAGCACCACAGGCTCTGTTTTTATAGTGGCTTCTTGAGACTGGATTAAGGGTAGAGAGGATGCATTAGCTCAACATTTAAAGAGACCCCCGGCCCAGCTTTCACCGAACAGCCTATTGATATGAAGAGTCTTAGCCGGGCGGTGGTGGCGCACGCCTTTAATTCCAGCACTCGGGAGGCAGAGCCAGGCGGATCTCTGTGAGTTCGAGGCTAGCCTGGTCTACAAAGCGAGTTCCAGGAAAGGCGCAAAGCTACACAGAGAAACCCTGTCTCAAAAAACCAAAACAACAACAACAAAAAACAAACAAACAAACAAACAAACAAAAAAAAACGAAAGAGTCTTGTCTGAATGCTTTCAACCAAACTAGCTCAAAACTACACTGAGCAACCCATTTCTGAATGGAGCCACCGCTAAACAACAATGAGACACCTAGGCCAGACACACACAGACTGCTTTGTTCTTCCAGGACCATCACCCCCGAAACCCACCTACACACAGACCCTGAGGCCACACAGTGGGATGAACAAGTGTCTGCCACATTTCTAAAAGGAGGGGGTAAAAGACACAAGAGACATTCTGGTTACCAGGGCAGAGGCCTGGGAAGCTGCGGGACCTGACAAACACATCAGCTATTTCATAGTATTTCTGGAGCCACCATAACACAGCTCTTTCTAGGGGGGCGACAGGTCAGACTGGACGGGTTTTCTGCCTCAACATTAGTTCCTCTCACATTCTGAAACAGCTGAGCCTCGTTTCTCCTGCCTCAAAAGGAAGCCACAATTTCCTGATAAGAGGTCGAGGTGGTGGGAGACAGGTCAGGATTCGAGGAACAGGAGAGAGGTTCTCCGGCCGATGCCCACAAGTGGTGCTAAGCATTACACGCCATATGGTATTCACGCAGGGTAAGAGATCACCGATGACGAAACTGAGGAGCACAGACATGACAGTCGCCCACTGGGAGACCGATGCCTGCTGACAAGAGCTGCTTGCAAACCTGGGGGCAGCCTCCCTGAGCCTGACACGAAAGGGCAGAATATCAGAGCGGAGTCTGCCGCTAACATGACTACAGCAAGAAAAGAGCCTTTAGAAACTGACCAGACAGAGCCGCCGCCAACAGTTACCTTTCCCGGCAGAGAGAAAACTCGAACTTCTAATTAAAGATTGCAGTTCATAGGGGCAAATATTGGAGCCAGCGGTGAACTTACCCATTACACCCTGTCCCTTCTGAGCCATCTGTCACACCTGGCAAGCCTCTTACCTTCATGTCAAGCAAAGCTCAGCCCTTCCTTCGGGAGACCAGCCTTTCCCCAGGCAGAAGAGAATTCATCACAGCTGCCGACGGTTCCTCGGGGAATCCTAGCATGTGCCATTTTAACATCACCCTCAGACCAGTCCGTACCGGAGAGGGCTCTTCCCGAGGCCATGGCTCCCTCTGCTCAACCAGGGCCAAGAGGGCAGCCTCCTGAATGCCCAGGCCTTGACCCAGAATTGAGTGGAAAGGGCCTTGTAAGAAGTGAGCTAAACTAGAGAGAGCAAGTGGAGTACTGGAGGGTGGGGGTGGGGTGGGGGTGAGGGTGGAGGTGAGGATGGGGTGAGGATGGAGGTGAGG